TTCCCCAGTACTTACATTTTATACTGTACAAAGTAGAGCGTGTCTCTTGCCTCTCTGGCCCACCCAGGCTGCCAGTGCAAAGTGCTGTTGAAGTTTAATGAACGAAACTCTACCTTCTGCGGCTGAATCAAATCTTGCAGGTCTCGGTTTTCTAAAACTGCAAGTGCTGCAAATGGTAAGGAATGATAACATAATGCATTTGTCACATCCATACTGAATTCGGGGGGTACTGCTATAGACCGTTTGGTTTCATGCCTAGCAGACCACAGGCAAATTAGATCCCCTGGATCTCATGTTCAAAATGTTCCAAGTCACAGTGATGAGATCTAGCAGTTACACAACAAACACATTTAGTACTATTAAAGGAACACTTTTATGTGGTTTGGATGTTTGGGTTTTTTTGGTGTGGTTTTGTTTGTTTGTTTTTGTCTTTTCTTCTTTAGTGAGTTTACTGCTGTGAAAGATGTCACATGCATGTCCCAGGAAACAAACCCTTTGGATCTATTCACAGAGTCTGCAGCAAGCAGCCTCATCAGTAGTTAAAAGTCAAGTGCTCTTTCCTCCACATGTAGCTTTAACCTGAAGGGATTATAGCTCTTCTAACTGTTGCCACAGTCGTGTTTACCAGCTCTTGCATAATAAAAAATAATCCAAGATTCACTGTTTTTCCCGTCTGCATTACTGGAAAAGCTGCCTGACAGTTTTCAAGACCATCTGTTTTCAAACTGCAATATTATTGATAACAGAATTAGTTAACAACCTCTCTGAAGCATCCAAATCCTAATATTTTTCTGGGTTTTGTGACCTGGGTGACAGCAGCTTTTTCCCTGGCATATCACAGAATCAGGTAAGACTTGTACTGGCTGAACTGAAACTGGTGATGCAGCCATGAATAAATCTAGTGTGCAACATGCTTGTTTTATCCGCATTTCAGAACCTTGAAGGATAAAATAACAGACTAACTTGAAAGTGAATGGGCTTTTGAAACCCAGCAAAAGATCCAGAGATTTCTTGACTCATCCAGAGATTCAATAACAGTCCCTATTCCACCCCTCCCCTTCCCAAATAGGAAAAAAGCAGAAAGCCATTAACTTACAAGTGATCTCATTCTGAAGCAGGTGCATCAGTAAGCAGAGGGAGGAAAGCATGATCCTCCCCATGCTTAGGAGAGCAGCTCCATGACTGAAAAGCACCTCTCTTCCTCTTGGGCATGTCTTAAGAGGAAGTAATTGTTAAACACTCCAGAGTTCCCCTTATTTTCAGTGGTTTCCAAATTCCCCGGTTTGGCTTTGGTTTAATTGAGCTGGAAAACATATGAGTTACTCTAAATTAAACATGAGCAATTGTTCTTAGTTGGCAGCTGTGGTCACTCTGAAGTTTGGAAGTAATTATGAACCAAACCAGTACGAAAAAGATCCTTTTTTAAGGACACTAATTCCCAAATGATGTCTGTCAATATTGCTTGATCCCATAAATTTGTCACAGAAGCTTGCTTGCTTGCTTGCCAAGCTAAGATTTTTATCTATTTATTTATTTTTTCATTTGGTTATTTATTTTTCAGCTCACTAGTTTCTCAAAACTGAAGAAAACAAGAAATTTTGCTGCAAAGAGATAAAAGACCTACCCATGGGCTGTCCTCTGGTTTGATGGACTGTCTTCAGGTTAAATGCGAGACAGAGTTTGAAGTCGTGTTTGCATCAGGATGCCATCTAGGAGCGTGTCACTGGAGGAATGAGGGGCTGTGAAATCACCACTGGCTCTTGGGCAGCACATTCACACCTCTCTGGCTGCTGGAGAGATGCTGGGAGGCTGGGGCAGCCTCAACTGCCAGTCCTCAGACTGGGAACGGGAGCCCAGCCCATTGGGCCAAAGTGCCACTCTGGGTTGGACTTTTAAACTGCTGGGAATCATATGCCCAGGCTGGTGCAGGTGTGATACAACACTGCCTGTGCAAATATTAGCAATTGTCAATGCTGTCCTTCTCATCCTGCCTTCCCAAAATGTGAATTCCTACAGTCTTGACCCCAGGGCTGGGGATGCCAGGACTTCCTGGTAAAAGCAATCTTACTTTGTGCTTGTAAATGCTTTAACACCACATGCATGCCTACCTTGTGGGAGATGAGCTTTGATGTATGGAAAGATCAGCTAAGTTGGTTGCTGGTGGTGAATGTGGTGCTACAGGAGGCAGCTGGGAGCTTGCTGGCCCTCCTACCTCTCATTCTTCCCTCCTTGAAAGCTCCTTGATGCTAACAGCCACTGGTACTTTGCTGCTCATGCACTAGGCAAAAGTCAGGATACATTTGCTTTTTGCAAACTCATGATGGTAGGCAAGAGGAGAATGCTACAAATTTTGTATGACTTAGCACAGCACTACGTAACAACCCCCACCAAAGGAGTAATAAATGTGAAGATTACCTGTCTGCAGACACAAAAATTTATCATAGGATAATCTTCACTTTGGGAAAAGATGGAAAAAAATATCTGTCAGGTCAAAAAAGTGCAAGTTCTGGTTCAAATGAAGGTATTTTTTGTTTAAAGGTAAGCAGTTATATTCACCAAACTGGACAACATCTAATAAATTGACCTTGGTCAGATAGATGGTCACAGGCTCAGTTCAGCTGATCACCTATACCTTGTTGTACAAACACCAAACCTGCAGCAGGTCTACTAAAATGCTAGCTGTGTAGCTCTGAATAATTAACTAGTCAAACCAATTAAGGGAACCAAAGAACTGAGAAGAAATGAAGTAAAAAACCCTCCCAAAATAGAGGCAGAAGGCAGAAAGTCTACCCTGCCATTGCTGGCTGGCTCAGTTCAGCTGATCACCTATACCTTGTTGTACAAACACCAAACCTGCAGCAGGTCTACTAAAATGCTAGCTGTGTAGCTCTGAATAATTAACTAGTCAAACCAATTAAGGGAACCAAAGAACTGAGAAGAAATGAAGTAAAAAACCCTCCCAAAATAGAGGCAGAAGGCAGAAAGTCTACCCTGCCATTGCTGGCTGTAAATTTTTTATTTTATCAATCATGTTATATGAGCTCAAGTGCGGGAATAGGAAACTTTTACAAACCAATCACTAGACTGAAAGGTCATCAAAGTTTAGTCACAGGTCATGCATTTGTTTACCTGAATTGTACCAACACACCTTCCCATTCCCTGCACAACAGCCCATTGCCAGGAGCTGAAGTGTGGAACTGTGCCAAAATTGGTTTTGGTGGTGGTTCCTCCTACAAATGCAGAGCTGAGGGGCAGCCTGCCAGGGTTTTGCTTGGAAAAGGCTGCTCTGCCCACGTGGTAAAATAGGGAATGAAATGCCTACCACGTGGATAAACTCAGGGTTTCCTGGGTGCTGCACTCTGATAGTGCTTTATCTGTTATTTGGCTTGGCATTCTGCAGCAATCAGTAACTCTTCACATAATTTTGTTGTTACTGAAACAGCTCCTGTTTCAGGAGCAGGTTATTAGCTCCTCTGTAACACTGTGCTACTCATCAGCTTCCGTCATGCTGCTTCAGTGCTTTGTGTGATACAAACCACTACAGTCAAACAAGGACCAGCTACACACACACACACACCCCTGCATACAAAAGTCTACATACACATATCTTGAGTTTTACAGAATATGTGTATAGTGCATTTAAAAATGTAAACTATTGAGGAACATGGCAGAATGTGTACTGCAATGCTATTGAAAATATGAGAATTTTAAAAACAATATTAAGGTACTCTGAACAGTACTTTATGAAGAAAAGGAAAGTTAAAATGTCATACTTTCCCCAGCACAGCCCACCTAAGTAGTTATGCTACTAGCTCATCCTAGCTTACGCTGATGCATCTTGTTGATCCAAACCCTTGTGAAACAGAAGTGATGGTTTTGTGAACCAACATAGAACCATGGGCATGAGAATTTCTTCCGTTCCTGGAATAAAAGCCTATCTGAATGCTGGGTAAACAGATTTCTTTCTCCTGAGGAGGGACTCTTGCTACACAGGGGTAAAAGTCAAGTACATTCTTGCTGTAAGCTGCCTGACTCATCCAATCTGATACCAGCACATCCTTGGTGATTGTTTTTGTTTATTCCTTTCTTTGTCCCTTGAATGACTTGTTTCCTATCCATAAGAGAAGAAAATGTAACCCTGGAGCTGCTACTGCAGGACCACCTTTGGCTTTCCAGATGTGCGTCTGGTTCTTGCAGTGGATATGAGGGTGTTTTGCTTACACACCTGGATGAGGATGGGGGAAGATGAAGGAAGGGGTGAAACTCCCAAAGCATAGATAGAATACTTCTAGTAACTGGGCAGAGGCCAGACAAGTCTCTCCTATGTATGGTATTTCACACAAAATTAAAAATGAGAGGTTCAGATTTTTCTGGATCGAAAAACTATTTGCAATTGGAGCCATGATCTGCAGTCTTTTACTCTTCTAAGCAGCTAGTGTGGACTTACAGGTAAACCTGTCTTGGCAGCGGGTCTGAAGGTCATCCAGTCCTGCCTAATGATCAGCACAGGGTTAATGGCAGTTTTAGACCACACTTAACCACTTTCAACGTGAGCTTTGCCACACTGCAACTTACAACAGCTGTTTTTTGTGGTTTTATTGGGGGTCTAGGGGAAAAGCCTGTCTTTTCTGCAAATGTCTATATAGTTGGCAACTGCAATTAGATCTCTTCAGAGCTGCCACCTCTCCCGACTGAAGGGACCTGCCTCCCTCAGCCTCATCTGGTGTGTCACGTGTGGCAGGGCAGCTCTTCACCAGCTCAGTGCGGACTGTGAAAATTAATCACTACACTACACACAAGAAATAGGAAACGAAGAAAACCCCCACAGACAGGCAGGAGGGACTTTCTGCATTTTTTTCCCCCATGCTCTTTAGGGAAGAGGCATTGCATCACACAGGTTCTTACAGAGAAGTTTTGAGGAAGCAAGGCTGACTTTGACTGCACAGTGTGTGCCTTCCCTGCTTCCGGCCCACAGGTGTGAACTGTTCAGCTCTCACTGTTAAAGGGCTTGGGTCAACATTTAAAAGACTACAGTTAGAAATTCACAATGCTATAGCTGCATCTAGAGAGTGTGGCATTTGAACATACTAAAGATTAATATCTGCTGAAGGCTCACTGTGTAGCAAGTCATTATTTGCACATGCAGTATTTATTTAACAACCGAATTGCACCAGGAACTTAGCAACCAACACTAACATTCATTAGGAACTGAAATTAATACCAAAGTCCAAAAAAGTTCAAAGCCTTTTATTTAAATGACAAGTTCCCTTAAAATTTTCATTTTCCTCATTTGCAAACCCTCTAATTTTTTTTCTACTGCTAAGGAGTGTTGTAATTTGTTAAAGCCCATTGAGAAAAGACCTGCTTTTCTTTAGGTTGTGGTTCCCTCACCAAATCATCAACAGACATAAAAAATCCATCTTGGAGACACACAGAATTAATATTCGATAATTTGTTTGGTTTGCTTAGGTAATCTCAGTAGTATGGGAAAGGTGCCAGGTGTTCACTCAGCCAGCAGAAATCACAGATAAGCCTGGAGAGGTACAACACAAACATTACTCATGCTTTCTTGGTCCACCTACTGAAGTAAAGAAAGGGAGGCGCAAAACCTGGTAGTGCCAAAGTCACTGTTTCCCACATTCTGCCACCAGAGGCAGATGAGGCAACGCCTGAAATATTAGCAGTGTGGGTAAGATATTACCTACATACTGATTCTTTCAGAGGCAGTGGTTGGAAGCCTCTGTGCCTGATCACCAAAGTCCTGTCCATTCACAAACCATGCGGGGCTGACTCATCATGCAGCACAAGAAGGGCAAGAGGTTGGCTTGTGTGTGTGGGGGGAAAAGAGTTGGAAGGAACCTGGAACTGCCTCTATATCTGCAATCAAAACTTGGGCTGCAGAAGGAGAAAACACTTCTGGTAGCTACTTTGGGCAATAAAACCTGGAAAGATGCAAGCTCCAGGCACTACCCTGGCCATGGGAAAACAGGAGGAAAAGACCCAGCCTTTCACTCATCTCTTCTGCAAGCAGAAGTTTGCAAGCATCACACTTTCTAACCAGTGGTTCAGTTCTGTGGTTGTCTTTTGAATTCTTGGTATCATTTCCCTTATCATCCGTGGAATGTGAACTCTAGACCAGAAGTCTATTCTAACAACAATC